AAATACTATTTTAAAAATAAATTAAATTTAATACATTTTTCATCATAATAAAAATTCTTACTGTTATTCTGAACTGATAACGATAATTATGTTTTAGATTTTTTATTGAATCTAACTTCGGTTTTTTGTTACTTATCTTTTCCCATTGTATAGAAACAAATACCAATTAATATTTTTAATATATAATGTACATTTATTATTTGCCTAATATTTAATTTTATAGGCAATACAGTTGACGTGTATGTTAACAAATTGTCATTCAGTTATACTTTATACAATGTTGTGATTTATATTTTCAGAATTTAAAATATGTGGAAAAAAATAAAGAAGTAAAGATGTATAATAATAAAAAAGTAATACTTATATTTATAAACTAAAAGTTTCATTTAGTAAATATTTTTAAAATTTCTTAATAGCATAAATATGGTTTAAAGTAAACTAACAATTTATAATTTTTTTTAAACATTGAATTTGTGACAAACTCGTCTTCTTCAAAAAATTAATTTTAAACATTTTATTCAAGAAAAATTAACATTTTCAAATAATATAAGTATTAATTATTAAGTATTTTATACAGTCAACTTGTGATATAACAAATTCCAAGGGACCGGCAAAAAGTTCGTTACATCGAAATTCATTATATCAAAAGCATTAACTAACAAAATTTTTTTAAACGATATTTAAAAGAAAATTTAGATTTTATTAGATTTTTATAATTACATATTTAAATACTCATTAGATTATTATTACATATTTTATTAGATACATACATTTTTTGTTTATAATTAAGATTTATTATAATTATTTATTTTAAAGATTTTAAGATTTAAAGATTTATTTATAATTTTTTAATTCGCACATACATACATACTAGATTATTATTACATACTTTATTAGATACATACATACAATTTTTGTCTATTAAATAGGTGCATACTTATTTATTTTTTAAAAAAATCGGTAATTTTTTTTTATCTGTATCCACTTGCGAATACGCGATTAATGGTGTTGTCCAAATTTAGAATATTACAAAATACACAGTCGTTAATATCATGTATTTGTAAAAAATAGCGTGGAGACCTAATTTTACTTCCTTCGAGCTTACGGGGGGCTCTTCAGAAAATTCTTCTTCGACCAGATTTATTTAAAATCTCATCGTCATTAAGAACTCCACAGATAGCTAAATCTTCGTCGATAGAAAAAAATTCTTTAAACGTTGATAATTGATCAACTGGAACAATAGTTAATCTATGCCATTGACTATCAACTTCTAAAGTTATCAGGACTTCGTCTTATTCTCTGGCAATAGCTTTTATGAATCCACACGTTCAGAAACAGTTACGAATCGTTTGTGTAATCATATTATTCCAAGCTTTATGACTAATCGTTATAGCAGTCAAAATGGTTACTTTTGAAAAATTATTATTATTCTAGCAGGCCAAAAATTCAGAAATAATTTTCTTTCTATATAAAGATTTAAAATTTTTAATTATCCATTAATCTAGAGGTTGGAGTTTTTAGGTCGTGTTTGCCGGAAAAAATTTAATTCGCACTTTAAAGAGAGTAGGAGGGTTGTTATGGGCAGTGAAATTATCAACGAACTTGATAATTTTTCTACATTGTTTTCGCATGTCACTGTTGAGGGTTTCAAGTCATTCATTCCAAAGTCGGTAGTCATCCACGATTTTATATTTTTTTTATACTACACCGGTAAAGATTTGACTTTTTAAAGCACCTAGGTTTAGCAGTCTTGTCTTTAAATAAGGCCCTCAACTTCTCCGAACCATACATATTTATTGCAAAAAGTAATACGACTCGCTTCTCACTAAGTTTCCCTCCGTGGTACTTTTCAATTTTATATGTTAGTGTTCGACCAGTTAAACATTTAAAATATAGTTCTGTTTCGTCAGCATTGAACACATTTTTTGGATTGAATTAACTTAACAAGTCTTGAAGTTTCACCTTCCAGTCGTCACAGATACTAACCTAAATCGACGCTAAATCTTGCACTTTCACCACAAATTTTTCTGAATACCAAGTTATGACGCTTTTTAAAATTAGACAACCAGTCATCACTAGCAGTAAAATTTAAGATACTTAGCATATCATTAAAATTTTTGGCTTTTTCTTTAATTAATATACCACTGACTGGAATGTTTTTCTGCCTAACTTGATTGAACCAAATGTACAAACATTGTTCTAAACGGGGAAACTCACTTGGTCGGTTCTTTTTTCGACTACCTTCTGCATCAGTTGTATTAAAAATTATATCTTTCTGTTTCAAAATTGTAAATATCGTCTGCTTCAATTATTATTTTCTTGTCAGAAATCGGCTTACACCTTTATTTTAAAGTCATGATTATAAAACGCGACATTTAAAATCAAGAGCGTGCGATCGCTTTTAACACAACAATGAAACTAAACTAAAATGATAACGTAGAGGTTACTTACAATAACGTTGTAGAGTCATTTATTTTATCGCATGAAATCGCTGAAATAAACTTCGTAATAAGAAGATTAATTTATATTTAACAGACGTGTATTTTATAAACGATTCATATAGTATATTAAGAAAAATATTTTCCTGATACGTCATTTATATGTATAATTTTAATAGATGTTTATATTTTTAAGTATAATAAATTATGTTAATTATAATGACGGCATAATTGAAACTTTTGAATTTTGAATTTTTTTTAGTCCATATGCATGATTTTGATTAGAAGAGTTCAGATCATCACAAATCAGAAGTAAATGACGAAAATGATTAGAAAATGTTTTAAGTGTTTCAATAATTTTCAGAATCATTAAAAAATATAGAAAAAAAATTGCAAAATATTTAAAATTTCATACGAAATTCAAACCCTCAGCGCTAAAAATTTTTTTTTGTAAAATTAAAACATCAAAATTTCTAAATTTCTTATTAAAAAATTTGTTTCTTAAACTATATCAAACATATTAAGAAATATAAATTGATCTACCTGATTCCTTTCACGTGGAATTGTTCGATAGAAATCGTAAATTTATTTTAAATTTAAAAGACTAATATTGCAATACCATTTACTGATCTTTGTATAATTCTCGATCGTAGAGTCTCACCATTAGGTTTTAATTTTATGCGATAGCATAGCATAATTTAATATTATAATAAATATTAATTTTGATTAATTATATCTATATTATAATTTATTTATATTATAATTTCAGCCAATTGATTGTACTGTAAAAATAAATGAAATAAATATCTATAAAATAATTATTTTAAATCAATACTTCATTCTTGAGTTCAACGATTGATTAGGGATTTAATAATTTCTAAATGTCTTCTAGTATATATGATATTTATATTTAACCGATATTGAAAATAAGTATTTTTATACTCTTTAATAACATCATTTATATAAATCAGAAGCATGTTAACCAAATTTTACAAATACTATACAGGTACTCATCTTGCTTTATTCAACTCGGTCTTTTAAATATTTTTTAAATGTATAATATGTTAATATTTAATCATTAATTTTAATTATGTTTTAATTTATATTTTTAGTCTTAAAAGGAGGTAAAAAGTTAAAAACATATGACTTAAGCATATAAAGATGAAAGAGTTGCGTTTTGTTTGGTATTTCTGTATTTATTCAAATCATATTTATAGTCTATACCTCTAAAAATGTCACAAAAGTTGAAGTTATGTATTGTTATTGAGAAAAAATTTTTATTTTGCAAAAAAACAGTCTGTGCTAATTAAAAACAATTTCAGTATATCGAACTCGAGTCTAAAATCTATATTATAAAATTAAAAGTTTATCTAGTCTGACTTTTTCAATTTTTTAAAAATAAGATATGGAAATTAAAAAAATATATTTAAAAAACAATTAAAAATAATTTTCTTTTAAATCTGATAGATTTAAAAAAAAATTAGAAAAAAATCAAGATATTATTTTGGTTACTACGTTTTTAGCGATTGCATAATATATAATTATATAAATATATATAATCTAAATATCTAACAGTAATTACTAATTTAATGTTATGTATTTAATCCTAGTGTGTTTAGTTCTCCTTGATGGATAAAGTGATGGTAGAAGGTAAACACAAAATAATGCTCTGATAATATTTTACACTTACAAGTAACGGTTGTAATCATTGAGCTAAAATCTTGAGTATTAATGAAGGTCAATATCAGATTGTATTATTGTTGTTTTTAAAATTTAAATGAACATAATGTTTTATGCTAGCAAATATTTTATGGATTTTTATTGTAATTAAATAATTGTATAATAAATATCCTTATATTAAAATTTCAGTTTTTAATAATTAAAATTGCAAATTATTATATTTACAAATAATAAGAATCATAAGAGTAATTAGCTGCATGATGATCATTTCAAAGTTCTTCCTTGAATTTATTTTACTGTAAAAATAATAATTTTTTTAGAATTACTGTAAGAATGTTTGATGAATTTAAATAATAAATTAATAAATTTGAAACCATATATTAAATAACAATAATACTTAATTTTGCTAAGTTTATATCAATCTATTGTAAATTAATTAAAATATGCAGTGATTTATATACAATTCTTCTCTACAATTTTAATGTTGAGTTGAAATATTAAGGTTTTATGGATTTTAACATGACATATTATCGTAAAATAAAAGTTATTTCTTGTAGTATCATAATTATACAAATATTGATTTATTAAACTAATATAAATTTGATTTCTGACGTTATTAAAAAAAAGTTATAATTCTAGAAGAAATAAACATTGTAAAATTAATTTTAAGATATAACCCAATCACTTATTTTATTTAATATATTGAGTATACTATCTGAATACAAATCAGTTTCAACTGTAATTAATTAAAATGTATTTATTTTCACAAAAAAATGCTGTTGACGAATACCAGATAAACAAGTTTGTAAGTACTTATAGAAAGTAGTAGGGAGATAAAAGTATTTAAAAAATATGGTGTATAAATAATGTGGGATAGTGTAGTTTATTTAAAATCCCGGAATCATAGTCAGACAGTATAAGGTTTGAAGTTTATCGAGGTCGACGTGTTATTTGTAAATTGAACTAACACTTTATGGAACATTATTTTCTTAATAAAATCGAATAAAATGACTGCTAATATTACAAAAATTATTTTTTTTCATATTTGTTTTATTTTTACCATAATAAATGGAGCAACTTTATCAAAATTGCGTAAGTATAAATTCTGTTTTTAAGATATTCAAGTAAGTATATTAGAACCCACATTTTATAAAATTCTACATTCTTCACTTTTTTCATATATTTTCTTGAATATTTGCTTAAGAAAAATATTATTATGATTTGAATTTTGAATTATTAATGTTAATATTTTTCCTATATTGTACAATAAATTATGTAGATAATGATTACATTATATTTAAATACGGTGGAATCTTAGATCTATATAAATAATAATATAATTTTAAGAATAACATTTGTTAAGTATTCATAGCCTCCCTCCCCTCCAAACAAGCATGTTCAATGGAGCTCATTATTCTACTGAAAAATATCATCAAACAAATGTTTCTATAACGTTCTATTGAAACATTAATTTTTTTGGGGATTTTGTACGCAAAAATAAAAATGGTAATCATTTTTATTTTTCTGTGAATCTTAACGATATTTATCATTTAGACAAAGTGGATGTTTCTCCTGAGCGTTTTTATTCAGTCTTATTTTTATAACATCAGTGGAAATAGACCAGAGACTAGAACCAAATCGAAAAAAATCTGTTTTTAAACCAGAACTCTTTGAATATTGGGAACCGGAACCTCACCAAAACTCTAATTTAAATTAATTTTTAAAACCGGAACCTCGGTGGAACCCTGATTAGAATTTATTTAAAAGCTGGAATTTCACCAGAATTGATACTTTTTTGTAAATGTTTTTTACGGTTAATTTCGGTTTTTTTATAATTTCATTATTTTTATTTATACATGTCATTAGTAGGTAATAAAAACTAAACAAATACGTAGATATATTATTATTAGAATTAGAATTTTTTAAATTCAAAAATAATCAATCAAGTCCCTACAAAATTCAGACGTCTGAGTATAAAATATTTCTACGTAAAAGTCATTTTATTTACTGTGTAATATATACCTATAGATCTTCTAATTGGCTCAATAACGAGAAATTCTAAGACCATGTTTATAATAAACTAAGCATATTGTGATTGTGACTATTGATACCTGATGTACCTACAGCACGTTTGCGTGATTAACACATTTTTGTCGTTGTTACTTGTTACCGTCTATTAGTGCTCTGCATGGTCCGGTCTTAATCAGTCCGGTCTAGTACGGTCCTAACATACAAAAATTACTGGATTGTCGGTTTGGTCCAGTTCTTAGATGAAATGCATTGTTTTTAGTCCGGTCTAATTAAAAAAAAAAATAAAATGAAAATCAGTCCGATCCGATCTCAGTCCGGTTCCAATCATGGAACTGAAAATCTAAATACAGATATTGTTAAGTAAACAAATAAAACGAATAAAAACCTACAAATGTAGGTATATATTTATTTATAAATTCGGGTAGTCCGGTTCAGTGTAATACTAAACGTATTATATGGTACGGTCTGGGCTAATACAGATTGAACCTTCGGACCGATAGTCCGGTCCACGGTCTACTTTATTAAATGTTATTTAATTACTGATTCGGTCCGGTCTAAAAATAATGTGAAGCCGTCGGTTCGGTCCAATTTTGGTCTTTGATTAAAGTTTTAGTGTGGTCCGGTCCGACTTCGGTCCCCTGGTAAAATTTGAAGTCCGGTCTGGTCATTAAAATAACGGACCGTGCAGAGCACTACCGTCTATATATGTCTATTTCCTATTATAAAATATTATGGGTCATCCTAACACATCAAAAATATATTTCTATTATAAATGATTTTAAAAATATAAGTCATTATTTAAGTATAAAAATGTTTTTATTAGATTGATTTTTTTTAATAAATCACCAATAAATATTGAATTATTTTTAACTATTTACACTGTTGTTAAGTATCCTAAAATGTTTTTATATTCACATATTACAGATTATATTATAAGGAAAAGCAAATATTTATAATCATTGTATATATATATACATATATAAGGTTAAGTTATCAGTATAAAATCAAGTAAATGTGGAACAGATGTTCCTATGTATTATCTATTGAAATCCTTGAACGCAAGTCTAACCTTAAACAAATATAATATGCTTGTTTTGAACAATTGAAAATTCGAGCATAACAAAAAATACATTTTTAAAAAAATATCTTCAGGTCCCGCATGTGTCAGAATTATTTTTTTCACGTCGTGTCTCCAATAATTTGTTCATAATAATGTTATGCATAATCATTATTAAAACGGTTGTGGCAAAATCTTTTTATTTTTTAAAGTATACTATGAATATTTTCCTTTTTTTGTTAGTTGTAAATCAGAGTATTTTATATTCGAAAAAAACCACAATTACATTATAATTAATAGTATAATTATGGTGTGTGGTCGGAATTATTATTAGATATATTTCAGTAAATTTATAAAATTCCTTGAGAACATACATGATTATTATAATTTGTTTGTGGGTATTATCAGTCAAAATATTTCTTTCTACATAGTTTAGTAGCAAACATATGACCTTGGATACGTCTTTTTTTTCGCTTATAATCAAATTTATAAATTAAAGAATGCACTTACGGTTTTTATAGATCATAATTAAATAATAAGTTATACAAATTCTAGATGATATTACTAAAAATGTAACAATTATGAGAAATTTGCGTTAACAGAAGATCAATCAAATAACAATAGTGGCAATCTAATTTTTAATTTAAAATGTTGATAGTTACTTACTAAAATGACATATTATGGAGTTATGAATCTTAGTATAATATTTTCTAACAATTAAATGACATTTTTTAGATAAAAGTTTTCAAGTACTACTATTTAATCATCTTATATTTTTTAAACAATTTTGAAGACCTCGTTCTACTAAAAATATTCTCACTTTATCAAATTACCAGATCATTGACCTGGATAATTGTTGAGTTAAATGGTGTCGTTTATTTTAATATTATTTACATTACTAGATTCCTCTTCAGAATTTTCTTCATGTGTTGCATTGTTTTTAGTTTGATCTTTATCGTCATAAATACAATTTTCATTAACAACATTTTTATTCAAAAATTCGGTATTTTTTAAAAATTTGTTTAAAAATTACGTAATGATAATTAATTCTTTTACTTATAGCCTTTATTTTTATTTTTTCAGATCCACTTAAAATGTACTATTTTTTATCAAGTTCTCGACCGCTTATTTTAAATAATTTAACATGACATTTTTTATCAAATTATAACTTCACGTATTACCATTGATAATAAATATATAGTAGTGTATTTTATAGCATTGAGCTATCTTTAGTATTTATAGTCTATGGTACTACATATACGAAATCAGAACTTTCGCAGTGATAGTTTTTGTTTGATGGTAACTATTGACTGGTGTTTGTTGATTGGTAGTGTTGATAAATGTTATTATTATTTTTTTTTTTTTATTCAGGAATAAAGGCTTCAACTATTGGGTCATTAGCCTGTGTTTACAATGTTACATGATTTTACAATGTATAATTGATTAAAGATTAATTTTGAAAATAAGGATAAAGTTATTTTTATTTATTATTTATTTTAAATTTTAGAGATATTCGTATATCCGATGGCTTTGAAAAAGATAAGAATCTGATTTTTGTTTTCCAAGAGCTTCTTCCATTGTGGTTGAATGATTTACGATGGATCTTAACTCTGAGAATTTCAGGCAATAAAGTATGATACGTTTATTAAATTGACAAATGTTATTGTGGTGCTAGTTATTTTTGGTAGGTATTCTTACGCCGTGTCCTATGTAATTACAACGAGCACAATAATCGTTTTATAATACAAATTATATGATTTTAAAAATAAATAAATTTTTAGAAATTTGTTTTCTTTCTGCGAAAGGTTTATGCCAGTTATTTGTTTAGTTTTTATAATCTTTAGTCTATTAAGGTCGATTCTCACTGGTCCGAACCGGGTCCGTGAGACGAAACGGCATGTCCGGGTTGACCCAGATTAGCCATCCACATTCATCTGGGCCCAGTTCGAATTTACAATTTTCAATGTACAACTTACAATTCAGATGTTTACACTTGTCGCGAAATATCTGAACCGGCATTATTTGGCAAACCCGTCCGGGGACCCCGAGAGCAAATTGATTACAATATTTTTCAAAAACCCGATTTGGCTCCAGCCCGGACCTGGTTCACACTAATGGAAATTGGGGCAAACGTAAATTGCGCCCGATATTTTTCAGATATAAAGTTTTGTGTAGTAAATTGTGCTCTGTATTTTTCAGGTATAAATTTTTGTATAGTAAATTGCGCCCAATAGAAATATTATTTTTATGACAGTCGTTTAGCATTACCCAGAGGACACCACGAGGAGGCGATTATCACTGTCCTCCAAAAATGTTTTTTCAGTTTACTAGAGATGAATAAATTAATTAATAAAAATAGGAAAAACTATATTTTTTAGATATTATTATGATTGCAAATAATTATAATTAATCTTTATTACACATACAAACAAATCAAATATGTGATTAAAAATAATAATTTTAAAGTAAAAAATAAAAGTTTAAACAGGAATTTATGTCTTGTATATATATATATTTTAAATCTCCAAAAAAAAAAAAATGATTTACGTCTATTAACAGATAGGTACTAACAAAACACATTAATTCTTCAATTTTCGTTTTTGTGATAAATTTCCAGCACATGATGGAATCTTACATGTTTTGCACTGAAATGAAGTTTGTTTTTGATCTTTATTTTTAAAACATATAGCGCAGTTTTTGAAGTATTTTTTTCTTTTGTATCCTGCAGGAAGTGGGATTGTTTCTTGGAAATGTGCATTATCTGGTATAAACATATCTAATTTTTTGGGTTTCATTTTTTAAAATAATTGATCACAAGTTGTATCTGAAGAAATTTGTATTAAATATCTGATAAGAGAGTCTCTGAATTATTTATATCTGAGGTTATAGAGAAAAAAATGTTTTTTATAAATAAAAAATGTGTTCCTTATTGTCATGTCTAGTAAGTGAAATAATACTTTTATACATCATGATCATTTGATCAGCACGATACACCCTATTCATAAAATCGTTATATTTCACGATTTCTATAGGTTTCAATCTTTCTTGACCTTATTTATTTGTTGATAAAATAATCGTTTGTTTATAATTAGTGGTAATACATACTACATTTCGTTTATCCTTCAATTTTAAAACGTAAACTCTCTCCGTTTCCATGTGTATTCTTTTTTTTAAGTTAATAAATATACCATTTTAATTATTGTTTAGCTTTATTTTGTCAGTGCCCGATAATTTTTTGAAATCTACTGGGGCAAAACATACGCTTTTTCATATGAAGCCATAAAAAAAATTACTGCTAGCATTTTTTTGGTTGTTTTTGTATTACTGCTTATAGCAAGTAATATATGAAAGTCTCCCAGGACATCAATTTTGGAAATTACTGCTCTAAAAATACTATATATCAACGTGGTAAAACGCCTGTTTCACTTTCCTCCAAACTCTTGTTATCATTATTAATAAGTTATTTTTAAATACCGATATTGACACAATAGAACCCGCTTAGGTAAATCAATAGAGGGAGATTTAAAGTATTGTCAGAGTAATAACTGACTTTTCTTTGTCTCATTTTCTCTGTTATACTTTTCTTTTCTTGGCTATCTCCCAATGTGTGGTCTATCTCCGTTTTGCGTGCTACGTAACGATAAATATGAGTATAGAATGCGGTCTATCAATGTTATGTGTTTTACATATAGCTGGAAATCCCCAGTCATTATTATTTATTATCTACTAATTTATATGTTTTATCTTAATTTTTCATAAGGATACATATTTTATCATGCAAAAATACAGAAAACTGAATTAGTTGGTTTAGTGTCGTTTGAGGTAAAACAACTTTTTTTAAATTTTGAGTTGAAAAAATAGTTTTTAAAATGCTAATTAAAGATTTTTTTAAACATTTTTTATAAGTAGAATTTACTGTAAAATACTTGCAAGATTATGGCTTATTACCTTGTGCAAAACAATGTCACAAATATGACAGTGAAGTAAAATTGTACCAAAGAAATGACCGAGGAAAAATATAATGGAAATAATATTTTTAATGCTTGCCTTAGAGATATGAAATTATACTTTGTGGATAATTTTGTGGATCCTTAATAAATTAAAATTTTATTTTATTTATACTTTTAATATAATTACGGCGGATCACGTCCATTTTGGTAGATCGCATATTTTTGTGGTAGACCGCATATTGGGAGATAGCCCTTTTCTTTTTTGTACATAAGATTTATGTTTATACCAGTAATTCATAATAGTTTTATAATTTTCTTCAAACATGTAATTGCGAAACACAAAGTTATACACACACACAATCCGTTAAATCACAAGTTAATCAAAAAAATAATTAAACTATGGATGTGGTGCATTACATTATATATAATGTTTCTTACTGGTGAGCAGATAATAAATGATTTACGTACAACGATCTTGAAAGCATCGTAACAATTAATACGTGAAATTTGATTGAATCATAGTAATACCACTGACTATATGAAAACAGATAGGTTATTCGGGATGTAACCAAAAATATGACGTTTATCACCACAATGAAATCAGTTCTTCGTACCAGTAGCTGTGTTTTCTCAATGACGTTGGTGAGATCTTCGTGTCCTTGATGCTCCATCCAAATCGACGCTCATATGATCCCCATTGCGATCGGATTGAGCGATAGGCCATTCGGCTTCCAGAGCCGTTGAAGCTTCCCTCATTGTGATTACTGCAACTGTACACTGTAAAATTTTCATCATTATTTTGTATATGTTTAAATATTATATTACAAATTGTTTAATGTTATATAATAATTAATTAAAAAACAATTGAAACGAAACAAATATTATTAGTAACTGCTATAATTATTAGCTTGTATTACGTTTTTAATTTGCGAGATCTAGTTCAGAACCATATGAATAAGGAAAATATTGTTTTTTAATATTAATTTGAAAAACTGTTAGTTGTTGAACCTATATATTGTTACAGCAAAAGGGTTTAAACAATGCAAAATAAGTGATCCCAATCTTAACGAATGTATAAGGGATGGACTTCAAAGCGCTATTCCTCATTTGGCTAAAGGTAAAAGGAAAAATACAAACACAAGGTTTCATTTTTATAATATAGTTATTTTTATTATTTTTATGTATTCAATAATAAACAATAATATTTTAATGTGACATCTTTAGGTATTCCGAGTTTGGGTATTATTCCACTGGATCCGCTACGAATCTCAGAACTCACTATTCAACAAGGTACTGGGCCAGTTAGTTTTAAGTTGAACTTTACAGATTTAGATTTAATAAATTTAAAGAAGATGACGATACAAAAAGTCGAGTAGGTTTATATGTTATTAGAATGAGGTCAGTATACAGACTTATTTACATTAAAAATTTGCAGATACGATCCAATAAAATACAGGTTTTATGCCGAGGTTGAACCTAAAGAATCAATAGATCTGGAAGGATTTTATGATATAACAGGAAAAGTACTAACTTTCCCAATTGTAGGAAATGGAAAATGCAAAATTAGTTTGGGTAACGACAAAATAAAATATTGCTATATTTGATAATTTGAAATTTTAATGTATACATATATTACAACGTGCATAAGTGTAAATGTTTGGTTTTTCTTAGATGTTCCAAAATTTTATGATACTGTCATAATGAATCCAGTCGTTAAAAATGGAAGTACGCATTTAGAAGTTGATAGCTTATCATGGAAATTCACGGCAACAAAATTGTATATTAAAATGGATAATCTGTTTAATGGTGACAAAGTTTTAGGTAAATTGTATAGTATATAAAAAAAAAATTTCCCTCGGAAAAATACAGTTGTAAAGAATAACTCATTTTATAATATATTGTCGAGAAAGAATATTGCATTTAAAAAAGAATAAATTTTAAATAAACAAAATATTTCATTACAAATTTAAAATCTAAGAACTAAAATTATTTGAATAAGATGAAATAAAATTTAGAAAAAGAAATTTAAATTAACATACTTTTTGTTTTAATGTAAAACTAACGACAATATTTAGTTAATGTTTTGTTCGATTCGCTTAAGCCAATGATAATAATTTGATTATTGTATATTTTATTTTTTTATTTAATCGCTTCAATAGGAGATAACATGAACTTATTCTTAAATGAAAATTGGCGTGAAGTTCTAAATGAAATGCAACCGGCTATCGAAGAAGTTTTCGGCATGGCATTCAAAGGAATTGGTCATCAGTTTTTAAATCGTATTCCACTCAATCAAATTTTCGCAGATTAAAATAAAGTATAACAATATTATTCCTGATTTTGACTTTGTTAAGTAATTTTGTATAAGTAACTTATGATTCGTAAAATATTTAACACTGAAATTAGTAATATATTAAAATTAAGTAAATTATTCATAATATTTATGCTTAGATATGTATAATAATTTATATATTATTTTATATTTATTACTACTTACAATTGTGTAGTATGTTATATTACTATATTTATGTTTTTTAAATAATTAATTACTTCGTATATGCAATTAAGATATTTATTAAGACCTTGAGATCTTACGATTAAAATTATTTAATAAATTTTCAATTCGTGTTTATTTTTTTTTATTGAATTTTATTATTTATTATTTTTTGTTTGAACTATAGCATTGAAAAGATTAACTTAAGTCAGCACAATTTGTACAATAGGCATCTATCATATAGCATGCCTACTAAAATACATGTATAAGTTTGTGACAAATATTTAGTTGCCAATTATTCAAATTTGCCGACATAGTCCCATATCATCTAATTACTTGTAAGACTAGCAATAAAACTGAATAATTTTTTTATGGCTTATTATCATGAGGATAAAAACTTAAGATGGACATACATTTAGGTCGTGTAAAGGTTTTAAAAAAATTATAAAACCAATATGAAATATATTTTTTTTAGTTTTTTTTTTTTTTATTCAAAAATAACAAATTAGTAATACATAATTATAATATATAAATCATATTTTGTTGGTTTTTCTAACACCTTTAAGCAAAGCTTGAGTTTGAGGTAGAGAGTTATTACGATAATTTAAATTAATTTTACTTTTAAATTCATTTTACTAATAAATATTTAGATTTTATACTAATATAAATATAATATAGTTTATATTATCAACTTATGAATATATTTATACATGAGCAAATAGACAAAATATATAATATAAGAACAGCATTGAGTCTAATTATGAATATTTGAATACGAGTATACAAATGTGTACATACATTATAAAGTTTTCAAATCTTATACAAATCACCTAATAATGATTAACTTATGTATCTATTTCCATTCGTTTTAGTATTGTATCTTAAATATTTTTTTACATTTATATTTAGAGAATGGAATATTTTAGGTCCTAAATAATTAATGAATTTTTGGCTCATATTTTTTTTTTTTGGTACTCGTATAATTAGTATAAATTTAAATTAGTAGAAAATGTTAAAAAAAACATGAAATAAAAAAAGTAACAACTAATAAAAATTATAATTAATTTTTAATTTTAAATAATAAAGGTAAAATAAATTTTACTCTGCATATTTTGGTGTTTCTTTTTAGCTTAAATACATATTTTATGTTATTTTGTGCATATTTAGTAACTTTTTATTGCATAAATGCGTACATATTACAGCCATTTTAAGTGCCTAAACATCCAAATCTAGTAATATTTATAAAAAGTCTAGTTGTCTAGTTACTATTCAGTATTATAAATATGAATTCACTTTTTATTAAAGCGTACCTATTTTAAATTAACCTATGTAATAATTCGAAGGTCAAGGTATACAATACAATTATAAGAAGAATAAGTTAATATATCAAAGTTCTGTAATAATATGCAATTACGTGTAGTAAAACTGGTTTAATAAAAATGGTTTAACTGGTTAATAATAAGTTTTAATAATCTTCCTGTGTTTTGGAAATAATTGAATATGTGTTTCCTTTGTTTTTCATAAGATACAATAATACTAATAAATCGATTTAAGTAAACTTTATTACAATTATTGTAAGAAAGTAATTTTTTACTTTCGTAAAATTCATATCAAGTATGAATATAAATACAAATAAATTTAACACCTTAAATTTTTTATTCCGCATGAATTTATTGTTAAAAAATAAACTATAATAGATGAATTTACTGATACATTTAATTTATTTTTATAGGAATAGCTTTTTAATTTTTATAACTTCATATAGAAGTTTAATAAAAATAAAAATTGTGATCGTATATATATATATATATATATAGTGTGTAAAGGCTTACTGAGAACACTCAATATCTTTGAGTATAGATCTGAAATTTGAATTTTGATTTTTTATTGGTTTTTATGATATAAAAATGTGTATTTTCACGAGTTTTTAATTTTCTTAAGTTAAATAGATACGCGTATGCGCAGTACAACTTTCCTTTTTTAAATGGCAATCACTTATTTTAACTACTAATTATTTTTGCCTATTTTTTTAATGAATTTTGATAGTTAAACTTACTTTCTAAGTTCAAAATTGACCAAGTTACGGCAATTTAACCAAAAAACTGTAAAATGCGTGCGATTTAAAATTTTTTTGATTGTAACTCTGAAATAATTATTCTAGAATTATTAAGGCTTGATATTTTTACTCTTATTTATTAAAGAGATATTTACACGTTATTATAATTTTAGCTACTGCATAATTTTCACTTTAATTTGGCTATACATATTACATACGTATATATGTATTGTAACTTATAGCAGAAAAAACGTAAATAAGCATGCATGTTGTTTATTTCGTAACATTTAATGGATCTATTGGAATTTATCATTAATTAACAATAAGTTCAATTTTAATTATAGTTACAAGTTTATTTATTTATTAATTAATTTACGTATAAATTGTTCAAATTGTTGTCCTCTGCGAACAAAACATGATTCAGCGCGCCGCATGAATTCTTTATTTGTTCCAGTAGTTAAGATTATATTCTAAGATTTATTTCTAAGTTATGAATAAAACTATGGACAGGATGTTCTCTATCTAAAGTAATTACCAAAAACAACGAAACTTACTTAACAATTATCTGAAGCAACGTAAAAAAATTAATAAGCATATTTGAGAAACGATGAGCATAATTTTATGCTGCACGACCTGCATTTTTTTTGACACTCCCAATAAATAAATAATATATCAACTTTTTTGGAATGATTCATATTAATCACGGAGTAACACACGTGTTTGGAAGATGAAAAATATCGAAATGATCAGTTTGTATAAATAAACATTTCATGATCATTTCATCGTATATAATTTTGTATTAAATTACGAATAAACGTTTACTAGTGCTTGATAAAATACGATAAGTATTAGATTACGTTTCTATTCCAATTTAAAATATCATAAATATCATTGCAATCAACTGACTGATGAAGAAATTACTGCTGCAACAAATAAAGAATTCATGGGTGGGACACTTTTCGGCCAAAATGAACCTTTCCCTTTTCGGCCAATTCACTTTTCGGCCATTCTGGATTGTCCGTTTTCGGCCAGTACACTATTTTGGCCACCAATTAAAAATATTCTACACCGTTTTTTCTGTAATACAATACCAATTATTTTTTTGTATAGTAAATCATATCTTAATAAAAAATATTAAGTTACATTATATTATAAATTTACACAAAAAAAAAATAAAACTAGGAAAATTTAATTTTTTTAATAACTGTAGCACATGCACACATATCCTCTATATTAATTCTTATTAGGAATTACTGATTATATTATAGGGAATTCAACATCTATACGTTGACGGTCGATAAAAGTAATAACTAACAACTATCTATACCTATAGAATATCTTTCATCATTATCTTCGTTTTATATATTAAACTTATATTAGCGATTTTCTTTTATCAATTGATCATAAGCAAAACTCATAATTTTAATTTTTAGATATTATTTTACTTTACATAATACGAGATTTTAATTTTTAAACATTTTACCAAAATTAACAAGTTATCAATTTATTTACTATTAAAAAACCCTATATATATATTAAAATTTTTATAAATGCTTACCTATAATATCTATGTACAATAATTTATTATGTAGAATGAATTCTATTAAAAATAATTAAGTTCCTAAAAGTAAGTTTATATCAGTGTTAATTGTTAAAATATTTTCATATGTAATACTCAATTAAAAATAATATGTGTTAAATAAAACTGACTGATATTTGATAAAAATTATTTATTTTCAATTTTTTCACAAAAATGATTATTATAAGAAAATATGTATATATGTAGTTTTAAAATTGAAAATACAAAAAGGTATCTAGGTATATATTATAAAATGGATCAAATTACAACCGTATCGACCCAATGACTCCATACAGAATCATAACTTCAAAAACTTCAAAAGTTGTAAAAATTAAAAAATCAAAATTTTTCTTATTTGATGCTTCTTTAATCTAGTTTCAAACAAAAAAAAAATTTCTAAAAGGTATTCATATAGTGGGCGTCAAAGGGTTAATTGACATAATATGAGATTTTAAAATAAATTGTAAATTATGAAAATTATGACTTTATATTTTTTATTTATTATTTGACTAACGTATTTTACTAAATAATATTATAAGATTATTATACAAAAAATAATTGGTATAGTATTACAGAAAAAACCGTGTAAAATATTTTTAATTGGTGGCCAAAATAGTGTACTGGCCGAAAACGGACATTCCAGAATGGCCGAAAAGGGAAGGTTCATTTTGGCCGAAAACGGTTCCGCCCGAATTCATGCCCACCGCTGAATCATGTTTTGTTCACAGAGGACAACAATTTCAACAATTTATACGTTAAATTAATCAATAAATAAATAAACTTGTAACTTGAATAAAATTTTACACTTATTGCTAATAATTGATAAATTCCAATTAAATTTCATTAAACCCATTATTATTTAAATAATTATTAAATCCATTAGATCCATTAAATGTCACGAAATAAACAACATCCCTGCTTATTTACGTTTTTTCTACTATAAGTTATAATTAGGCTTAGGGTCTTATAGCTCTATAAAATACATAAATATACATGTAAGTATGCTTCTAAAGTCATTAAAATATGCATTTATATGCATTAAAAAAAAAAAAAATGACCACATAGTACACAAAATAAATCTGTCCATCGCAGGGGCGTATTTTAGGGGGGCGAAAGAGGCGATTTATCCCCCCCCCCCTGAATCCATATTTAATGAATCGATTAAATGTGAGATATACATTTCAAATTTTTTTAATATGGATCATTTTATAATGAAATCAAATTACACGTAGCTGTGAATATTGAATCGGGCTTTTTGTCGGGTCCATACTTAGTGAA